GAAGGCTCCCCAGGCACTTTTGATGTGCCTCAAGCACTTTTCAAATCACTTTGAGGGCTTTGTGCTTACCAAGCCCAAAGCACTTTGAGGGCTTTGTGGTTGTGAAGCACTTCTGAAAATAAAAAGGAATTAGTGCTTGAAATTGAAAGCACTTTGATAAAGGGCTTTATCGCAAAAACTGAAAAAAAAAGTGGTTTTTCAGCATTTATTTCAAAACGAGTAGATGAAGTTAGGTGCTAATTAGGGCCTCTAATTAAAAATTAGGTGTTGCTCTAGTTTTTAAGAAAATCAAAAAAAAACTAAGGGATTGCTAGGTTTATGAGAGCTAGTGTTGGGAAATGGACTAAAAAATAAAAGAACTTGTTAAATATCGATATTCAATATATTTATTATATCGAACACAGAGTGGAAAGCAGAGCGTGTGAACTCGTAGAAATAACTATACGATCTGACTCAACATCAAGACAAATAATTACAAACCCTTTCTTAAGTAAACGATTGCTCATGTGTTTACCTTACATATAAAAACTATTATAAACACATTCAGTCATCCATAGCTGCGATATAAATTAGCAAAGTATAGGCTAATAATCAAAGTTTAATTTATTAATTTTTGTTTCACTGATATGAGTATCAGTTTATCCAACAGCTAGTAGTCCCCTATAGTGAAAAATATATTTCCAAAATTTTCTTTTGTATCAGAATTAGGTGCTTTTTAGGTGCTCCTAAATAGTCCAAGAAAAAATAGAATTGATTAATTATTAACTAAGTTACAGATTTTTTTTTACTACATATACTAGCTTTCATAAACCTAGCAATCCCTTAGTCTTTTTTGATTTGAATTAGAGGAGCACCTAATTTTTAATTAAAGGCCCTAATTAGCACCTAAAAAGCACCTAATTATTATATAGATCCCGAAGTTTTTTTCCACCTTGGGACTGCTAGGTTCATAGACCTCATAAATTCAAGAAAAAATGGATTATTGATTGCTATTGCGAAAATACCAGAATTTTGCTGGAATGAAATGTCAAATTACTAGAAATATTACTTGATATATTTTGAAAATCTTCATTACTAAAACCGGGGTCGATATTACCAGATCTGGTAATTATTTTATCAAGTTGGCAACACTGGGAACTATAAGTGCGAATGAACTGAAATTTTCAGGGATTGTAGTCCTTTGAAAAGGATAATTTTCAGTGAAAGATTCAGCTTTCTATCTATTATAGAAAAAAGTTATGACTTTTCAAAATTTTCCAAAAAAATCATAAGGGGGGTACCTTCCTACTAAAACGATGAAATTTCAAATTTTTTTTGTCGAGATTTTGTGTCGTAATGGTCCCTCGTGATACCCTGAACTCCATAAACTAAATTATTCTCAGATTTGAAGCCAAAATCCATGAAAAAAGGCACTGAGAAAAATTGAAAAATTGATAAATCACCACAATTGCTTAGCACGATTTTATCTCAGGAACTATAAGTGTCAGTGAGCTGAAATTTTCAGGGATTGTAGCCCTTTGAAAAGGATAATTTTCAGTGAAAGATTCAGCTTTCTATCTATTATAGAAAAAAAGTTATGACTTTTCAAAATTTTCCAAAAAAATCATAAGGGGGGTACCTTCCTACTAAAACGATGAAATTTCAATTTTTTTTTGTCGAGATTTTGTGTCCTAATGGTCCGTCGTGATACCCTGAACTCCATTATTATTATTATTATTATTAGAACACCTACATTTTCAAGAAATTATTGCCATAACAGAGCATTGGCTCAATATTGACGAGCCTGTGTTTGTCAAAAACTACACTACAGTATCTAGGTATACTAGAAGTATACTATCTCATGGAGGTACTGTAATAATGTCCACTAATAACAACTTTTCGGCGATAACCAAGTTCGACAATTTATTATCTGAAAAATTATTCGAATTTTCTATAGTCTACAACAATATCTACGACCTCTACATTGTTTGTATTTACAGAACACCTGACGCTGACTTGGTTACATTTTTTCAAAACTTACTTCTCTCCAGTCTATACTTGACTCTTTTGGTATGGTCATGCATGTTCAATCTCCAACCCGAATAACTAAAACCAGATCTAGCACTATCGACTACGTCGTGTCATCTTTTGATCCAAGCTTTGTTGACTGTACTGTCTTAAGTTCAGGGTTTTCAGATCATGAAGCAGTACTCACAAACTTTTCTCTAAAGAGCAATAGCAGGATTGCCCCACGTAAGTTTCGCCGAATTTATTCGGAAAAAAATTTCCTCAATTTCAAGCGCTCATGTCAAACAATTGACTGGGGTTGCCTCTCTGATGACATCAATAATGCATTTTCAACATTTTCAAATAAATTATCTGGTTTGGCTTTCAAAGCATTTCCCCTCAGGCCTATCAAAAATAAGCAACATAAACCCTGGACTACTAAAGGCTTGAGGACATCGGCAAAGAACATGCGCTCATTGTCACACCTAAAAAAATTTTCAGACAGTCTCTTCTTTCAAAATTACGTTAAACTCTATAGAAAAATTTATCATAAAACTATAAAAGCCGCCAAAGACACCTATTATAACAACCGGTTCGCTAGAACTGAAAATATTGCCAAAGAAACGTGGTCTATTGTCAACGACTTGAGAAATAAGGCTATCTCTTCCAGTATAACCTCTACTTCCCCTGAGAACTTGAATAACTACTTTGTAAATGTGGCAAAAAATTTAATGACCACTATAGCTCCTTCTCGCGATCCGCTTTCATATCTTTCCAGTACCAATATGAATTTACACAGTTTCTTCCTAACACCCGTAGAAACACTAGAGCTTTTCAGCACAATTAAAGACATAAAAAACAAAGTGTCATCTGGGACTGATAGACTAACTTTAAAAATGTTCTTCAATTTACCGGAGTGTACATTAAATCTCCTCACTGCTTTAATAAATAAATCTTTTCAACAAGGAGTGTTCCCAGATTGCCTCAAGACGGCTATAATTATTTCTCTGCACAAGGGAGGTGATAAGGACCAAGACTCGAACTATCGTCCAATTGCACTTCTTCCTACTTTATCCAAAATCATTGAAAGATTGGTTAAGAAAAGGCTTCTATCATTTCTGCATAAATATAATATACTAACTATCCACCAATTTGGATTTTTAACCAACAAATGCACTATTGATGCTATGTTCTCTGTCTTCAATAATGTCTTCTCTAGCTTGAACAATTTGCACTCCACAGCATCAATTTTCTGTGATTTTTCTAAAGCATTCGACTGTGTAAGTCATAATATCCTAATTAACAAATTGCAGCATTATGGAATTCGAGGCTCTCCTCTGGAATGGTTCAAGTCGTATCTTAACAACAGAAAACAGCTTGTGAGGGTTGATACGACGACGTCTTCATGCAAGCCAATAGAATGTGGAGTTCCACAGGGTTCCGTGTTGGGTCCAATATTATTTTGGCTGTTTATCAACGATATTGCTAGTCTAGACATCAGCGGTAAAATCTGTCTTTTTGCTGATGATACTAGTTTCACTTGGAGCAACCCGGATATTGTAGCTCTTCATAGAACCATGTCCATCGACTTGTTGGCTATTAAAACATGGTGCGACTCTAACTTCCTCTGCTTCAACGCTGCGAAAACAAAAGTTCTATCATGTAGAAGTACGATGCAACCTATTGTACTTAATAACACTACTACTATTGACGTTGTTGATTCCGTAAAGTTTTTGGGCCTTATTATAGACAAATCCCTAAAATGGAATTCGCACATCGATTCTTTATCAAAAAAATTAAGTTCCGCTTGCTTTGCGATAAGATCAGTTTCCAAGGAACTCAACTTGTCAACTTCTAGAACAGTCTACTTTGCCCTTTTCGAATCACATCTTCGATACGCCCTTCCATTCTGGGGTTCGTGCTGTGCGACTCAATTTGACCGTATTTTTAAATTACAAAAGAGAGCTATTAGATATTCCCTAAAATTAAAAAATAGAACTCATTGCCAAGATTTTTTCAAAAAATATAAAATATTAACACTTCCTTCCCTTTTCATACTAGAATCAGTCTGCCTTATCCGCAAACACCTACCCAGTATTTCAGAAAGGCCATTGCATAACTATCCACTTAGAAACGCGGAGCATGATCTTTATCTGCCAACTCCATCCTCCGAGTTAATTAAGAGCTCCATTCTATACAACGCAAAAAAAATGCACAATCATCTGCCAGTAGTCATCAAGTCCATAGCATCTCTTCCTAAATTTCGCATAGCTCTAAAATCCTATTTATCAGAGAGAGCCTTATATAAAGTAAATGACTTTTTTCTGACTTAATTTTGAGCGTTCCACACACTGGATCATAGTTTATAGGTAATTTGTTCATTTTTGTATTTGTTCATGTTATATTTGTTTATGTTTATATCATTTTATTTTGACTTTGTATACATGTAGATGTATATAATATGTATTTTTAACTTTAAGGCTTAGTCTACAAATTATGTTATAATTTTTTTGACAATAAAGCATTATTATTATTATAGTAATTAGTCAAAAACCATGTTTTCACTCTTAGAAGACTTGTAAACTATTTCAAATGGTTTAGATGAGTCACTAATTAGTCAAAAACTATTTTTCCACTCTTAGAATTAATTGTAAGACTTGTAAACTATTTTAAATGGTTTAGATGAGTCACTAATTAGTCAAAAACCATTTTTTTACTCTTAGAATTAAATGTAAGACTTGTATACTATTTTAAATGGTTTAGATGAGTCACTAATTAGTCAAAAACTATTTTTCCACTCTTAGAATTAATTGTAAGACTTGAGTTACATACGGCTCTACATTGTATACCTATTTTATTTAATCAGCATATTATTTTACCTTAGCTTGCATTCTGTATTCTCTTTGTGTAGCTTCTACTTGCCGAGCGTCGTCACTCAGAGCTTTGCATTCACTTTCGACGTCTCGAAATTTAATAAATTTTAAACGTAAAAATATTGTAATAGTTTTAAGTGAAATAAATTTGTTCTTAAAAAATTTTACATCGCGTACTGATTTGTAACTCATGGAAGATTCTTAATTATTTTTTTTGGGATTTTTTTATTTTAAATTGTAGATTTTATCAACAAAAAACTGCAAAAATCGTCCGACTTCACACTTCACCCCAAATGACGGTACAAGTCAAAACTTTAAAAATTAATTAAACAGGTAGGTGGTTGTTCTGTGAGCCGATAAATCACCCCAAATTGCTTAAAACACGATTTTATTTCAGGAACTATAAGTGCAAATGAGCTGAAATTTTCAGGGATTGTAGTCCTTTGATTGGGATAAAATTCAGTGAAAGTTTCAGTAGCTTCCTCATCTATAACAGAAAAAAAGTTATATGACCTTTCAAAGTTTTCCAAAATCTAAATCATATAAGGTTCCTATTACTTACTTTCTTACTAAGACGATGAAACTTCAAAGTTTTTTTCTTTTTAATATAAGTAGGTAGCTGTGGGGATTTGTCATATAAAGTAGAACTAAGGTCTTTTTTTTTTTTTTAAGATAAAAGTCAAAGTGACAATCAGCAATACATGTAAAATCGTCAATGCTTTGAAATTTTTTATGTAGAAAAGGCCTATGTTTCCAACATACTACATTTTTGACTTGGGGGGACGTATGTACCTCTGGTACCTACCGTATAATACGTATAGAAAAATGAAAAATCATCGAGCTTTTACCAACATTGCCTTGCTTTATTTTGGTCGTGGCCTCTTAATTTGAATTAGATTGGGTTTGTTTTGATCAGTTTGGGCGGAGTTCGTCACGATTGGTCACTGATGGCCTGGGTTGGGTTTGTTTGGTTTGGAAGACAAGAGGATTATCACTAAACATTATTAATATTGGGTAGGTACTCTTATGTGGTGTCATTTATTAGGAATATGGAAAATCTTATATACCTAGGTACTTATATATGTAGGTAATAATTTTACTGTAACTGAACAAGACTTGAAAACAACAAAATCATGGCGTACGAGCTTCGTCCATGGATGTGGTAGTAGCCGGAGCAGGAGCATATCTGCTTTTCAGAGGCTTATCCAAAACAGTAACTTTCAACAAAAGATAAGTTAGGGCTCCTAAAACCATCTGTCCTAATCCCACTAAAACTACTATGGCCCATGCTGGTATGCCAAGAGGCTCTAAATTTGAAACGGTTTTAATATTTATTACACAAATAATGGAAAATTCTTACTTAAATAAGTCCGATTGACCACTTTTCTGCCCCTCACAATTTTTCTGCGGGCTTCGGTTTCTTGGCACGTTATTGCCAGCACAATTAGAATTAGTACAAAGGCTTTTGCGTATTTTGTCATGTTGTTGTGTTGGAATTTCTGGCGCATTAAATTACGGTGTTAAGTTGCAAGAGAAGAGAATCAGTTTTATCAGCAGATTTCTTATCAGTAATTAAACACTACAAAAGTATGTGTAATGTGTGCTTAGTAGTAATTTCAAAGTCAAATATCAAGTTTTCAAAAATGGGTAAAGTCTATATACTTAGTTAATTTTTCTTGAAAATCTTTTTAGTCATTATAATAATGAAACAAAAATTAAATTACAAAAATGAAAAACTATATTTGAATTTATTTGTAGATTAAAAAAATGTATTCATGTTGGGGATGGGGATTGGGGATGGATAATGAAATTGTTACCTAAATATAATTATAATTAATATATGTATATTATAAATAATAACAGTAGGTAGGTAGCTGAGAAGGAAGCGAATATCTATCTAGGATTCTTTATTTATCCCTTTTTGACATTCAAGTTACTTCAATAACAATAATTGTACCCAGAAAAAAATGTATAAAAAAACTATCAATTTTTTCACAAAACAATTAACATAGTATATTACGAATACACCTAGAATGTAAAGTGATTCTATTAAGACTGCAGCAAAAGTAATTTTTCATTTAACTAAATAAAATGATGTTTGAATTTATCTAAATTAGCTGCAGTAATTATAACTCTAACAAACACATATTGCAAATTATCTTGGTCAGGAATTTCTTCTAAGACTGTGGCGTTTCTATAGAGCCATCGAATTCCATCACCTCCGTTTGAAGTCCTTATTGTAATTTTCTTTCTGCCAGTTATGTGGAGTATGAAACTCTCTAATTGGTGTTTGAGCTCTTCCAAACCTGAAAAATTATGATTATGTTTTATATAAGTATCTATGTAATTGTGTATATCCACATAGGAAAAAACACACAATAATATGAAAGATTTGTTGCTGATGGAGTAGGAAATCTAAAAACTTTAAAGAAATAGAATAATAATTTATTATTACCCTGGCCTTTTTCAGCAGATACCAAAAGTACGTCAGCTTTTTGATCAATTTGATCAACCACCAAATCACATTTATTGCCAATGCCTATTACTTTACCAAGAACGTTTTTTGACTCTGCCTGTATCTGTAGCCGTTCAAGCGTCTGAAATACATGATTTCTTTTATATTCATAACTTTTTGATGAAATATCTTCTACATGAAGAATAACATCCTGAAATAAATCCATTGTAATCAACTATGCAATAGTTTTTTTAAATCAACGTACAGCTAATAAGGCGTCTTCTAGAGTGGCAACAAAACATTCAATAAGATTTGTTGGGATATCTGAAATAAATCCAACAGTATCTATATAAAGCACTTCTAAACCTGACGGTAGTGTTCCTTTATGTACTGTAACATCTAATGTGGCAAAAAGCTGGTTTTTGGGCTTTAAACTTTCTTCGCCTGTTAGCGATTTTATTATAGAAGTCTTCCCCGCATTAGTATATCCCACAACTGCAACTACTGGATAATCCATTTTTTGTCTTTTATTTCTCAAGATATTCCTCTGATTTCTAATATTTTTTATTTCAATTTTTAGTTTCTGTTCTCTTTCTTGAAACATCAGTCTTAAAGTTTCAGGGTCGTACGTCCTAAAAAATAAATCTTTTTCTGATTTTCTTCGTACATAGTATAGTTCAGCCAATGCTACCTGAAATAATCAAACATGCGATTTATTTATAAAACTAAAAAGTTTTGCGATTTCAGTTTTAAAACTTTTCTTATTTTGTAAGTACATTCCACTGGTACATTCTAGTTGATTCTAGTCTAGTATCAAAATAGAAGATTTTGAACTCCAATGTTTAATTTCTATTTTCGTTTGTAATAGAGTAAGTAAAACTTTTACACAAACTATGAACAATGCTTTCGAGGGGTGGTTAACTCCTTGAAATATGTACACAGGTTTTAAATCTTCATTGATTTTGTAGGATTTTGAGAATTTTGAGATTCTTCACATGATTTTACAGGATTTTAAAAGATTTTAGGTGATTTTGGAGCATTTTAGGGAAGTTAGAAGGGTTTTTAGAGATCCTAAAGGATTTTTAGAGATTTTAATGGATTTTTGGGGATCCCAAAGGATTTTTGGAAATGTTAAAGGAATTTTTTTCTTAGGAATTTTATAGGATTTTGCCGGATTTTTTTTGTTCTAATAAAATTTTGTTAGATTTTTAAAGATTTCCAGGGATTTTAAGTAGATCTTACGAGTTTTTCTGGGATTTTGACCAATTTGTATACAAATTTTCATCAATTAACCGCTCGAAGTTTAGTTAACTCCATAAAATGTGTACATAATTAAATCTTTATTGATTTTGTAGAATTTTGAGGATTTTGAAAATCTTCACGTGATTTTACTAGATTTTAGATTTATGAGATTTTAGGTGATTTTGAATCATCTAAGGGAATCTAGAAAGGGTTTTATAGCGTTTTTACCAACTGATTTAGGGGAACCCTAACGATGAGTATTTTTTAAACTGATATTTCTCATTTCTCCATAGAAGACTGTCATTTTAAAGAATACTTATTGTTGATTCTCCCCTAAAATAGTTGGTGGAAACGGCCATTAGAGATCCTAAAGGATTTTTAGAAATTTTAACGTATTTTTGAGGATTCCAAAGGAATTTTTTTTAGGAATACATAATAATGATTTTATAAGATTTTGCCGGATTTTTTTTGTTCTAATGAAATTTTGTGTGATTTTGTGAAATTTTATGCAATTTCAGGTGATTTTTAAGGGATTCTGTGAGGTTTTGTTAAAATTTTAAAGATTTTCATGGATTTTAAATATACCTATGTTACAAGTTTTTCTGGACTTGTACACAGATTTATTTTAAATCCTAATTGATTTTGTAGGATTTTGGGAATTTTGAAAATATTCACACGATTTTACAGGAGTTCAGAAGATTTTAGATTTTCAAAATTTTAGGTGATTCTGGTACATTTTAAGGGTTTTTGAAAAGTTTTTAGAGATTAACAAATTTGAATAAAAAAACGGAAATTCCTAAACATTTTACTATAGGATTTCATATTACTTTTCCAAATTTCATCATATATTTATCATTATGATTCTATGGAATAAATAAAATTCAATGGAATTCTTGTTCAAAATTTCCTCGGAATTACACAACTTATGAGATTTCATGAAATTCTTCGGCATTCCACTAAAATTTCAAGTTATTCCATGAGAATTCTGCGAAAATTTTTGTTAATTCCATAGAAAATTCCTTAGAATTTCACTAGAAGATTTTATGAAATTCCTCGAAATTCCATTCAAATGACAAATTTGAATAGAAAAACAGAAAGTCCTAGAAATTTTACCATAAGATTTCATAATTCTTCTCTGAATAACACCATAAGATTCCATGGAATTCCACCATAAAATTCAACGGAATTCTTGTACAAAAATTCCTCGGAATTACAGTTAAAGATTTTATGAAATTACTCGGAATTCCACTAAAATTTTATGTAATTCGACCGAAACTACTCAGAATTTCACTAAAATTTATTTCAATTCTTTGGAATTTCGCTGATATTTCTCGTGTTTCCATGGAAATTCCACGGAAATTCTGATTGATTCCAGGGGAATTCTTCGAATTCCATGTAATTTCACTGAAATTCCACAATAAGGTTTCAAGGACGAGAATTCCTTGGGATTTTACTCTACTACATTTCATCGAAATTTTATGTAAATCAACACAAAGTGAAATTATATATAATTTGATGGAAATTCTGCGAATATTTCATTTATTTTATTTTTTTTCGAAATCCCACTACTTAAATTCTCCAAAATTTTATAGAATTTCCATAATTTTTTCAAAACTTTACTGAAATTCCCCAAAACTTCACCACTGAAATTTTCATAAAATTTTTCGGAATATGATTGACATTTCCTGTAATTTCTTAGAAATTCCTCGAAATTTCACTAAAATTTTATGAGAATTTTTTGAAATTTCACTGAAATTCCACGTTATTAGTCGAAAATTTTTCGAAATCCCAATGAAACTTCAATTTTTTTTTCAAAATTTCATTCATCCATAAAAAATTTTCGCAATATCACTGAAATTCTCTTTCAGTAGTCAGGAATTTCTGGAAATATTAATGAAACTTCAAGTAATTTCTTGAAACTTCACCGAAATTCCTCCGAAATATATTGAAATTTCGTATCATTACATGGGAATTTTTCCAAATTTCAAGGTTCCAAGTTTTTACCCGGAAATTCCTCGGAGTTCCACTTGTGAAATTTTCTCTAATTTTACTAAAATTCAGTAATTCGATGGGAATTTTTCGGAATTTAAATTTCACTAAATACCATGTTTTTAACTGGGAATTCCTTGGAATAAAAATAAAACTTCATGTAATTATATTAAGATTTTTCGGAATTTCACTGGAATTCCTTATGAAACTATAAGAGTTGTTCAAAATTCCACTCAAATTTCATGTAATTTTTTGAAACTTTTTAAAAATTCTTTATGCAATTTAACGAGCACTGAAATTTCATGTTGGGAATTTCGGTATAATTCCATGTATTTGTTTAGAATTCCTCCATGCCACTTATTCAGGATTTCATGTAATTTCTTGAAATTTCATGTAATTCGAGAGGAACTAAAATTTAATGTGAATTTTATGGAAACTCCGCAAAAATTTCACATGTCACATGTCACACCATAAAATTCAATGGAATTCTTGAAATTTTTTTTTCTTCGGAATTACAATATAAGATTTCATTAAATTCTTTAGAATTCCACTAAAATTTCAAATTATTCCATGGAAATTCCGCGAAAATTTTAGTCAATTCCATAAAAACTCTTCAGAATTTCACCAGAAGATTTTATGGAATTCCTCGAAATTCCATTGAAGTGATAAATTTGAATGGGAAAACGTAAATTCCTAGAAGATTTCATAATACTTTTCCGAATTTCATCATAAGATTCTATGGAATTCTACCATAAAATTTAATGGAATTCTTGCACAAAAATTCCTCGGAATTACACTATGAGATTTCATGAAATTCTTCGGAATTCCATTAAAATTTCAAGTTACTCCATGGGAATTCCGTGAAAATTTTAGTTGATTTCATAGAAATTCTTCAGAATTTCACCAGAAGATTTAATGGAATTCCTTGAAATTCCATTCAAATGGTACCTAAATCTGAATGGAAAAAGGGAAATTCCTAAAAATTTTACTATAGGATTACATAAATTTTTTTCCAAATTTCACCATAAGATTTCATGGAATGTCACAATTCAAAGGAATCAAAATTTCACCACTGAAATATCTAGAATTCCACAAAATTTTCATAAAATTCTTCGGAATTTCCTCGGGAATTTCATTGCCATTTTATGTAATTTCTTAAAAATTCCTCGGAATTCACTAAAATTTTATGGGTAGGTATATTTTGAAATTCCACGTTCATAGCCGAAGATTTCTTGAAAGTCCAATGAAACTTCAACAAATTTTTCAAAATTTCATTTATTTTCATACGAATTTTTCAGAATTTCACTGAAATTCTCTTTTAATAGCCAGGAATTTCTGGGAATATTAATAGAACTTTAAGTAATTTTTTGAAAATTCACCGAAATATATTGAAATTTCATGTCATTTCATGGGAGTTTTCACCGAAATTCCATGTTTTTAGCCGGAAATTCCTCAGCATCCCACTTGTGGAATTTTCTGGAATTTTACTAAAATTCAGTAAGAACTGAAATTTCATGTTGGGAATTTCGGTGTAATTTCATATATGAGGAATTTGCAATTTTTTTTTTTAAATTCTCTTATTAAATTCTGCACAATGTAAAGTCACTTGCCACATAAATTTTAAATTTTCAACTAATAGTTTTTCTGTAAAAAAATATAGAAAATTAAAATAACTCTCTTCGCGCCAAAACGCAGTCGTGAATCAATGACGTCACAAGACGGTATCCGTCAAAACGAGTCTCTGTACTCCCTCTCTGTCTTACCCATTATCAATTATTGTGCTTTATGTCATTGGTTTATGCGATTATGTCCATCATTGCTTTTTTCCATTCACAGATAACTCATCGGTGAAGTCGCCCATTAGAATAAAAATGAGGGGAACTTTGTTTAGTGAATGGAAAATGACAATGACCGACATAGAATGGTGAATCCATTGATAGAATTCAATGTAAACACAAGCGTCTGACGGCTTACGTATTGTTTGTTTACCATCCCATGATGTCATAAGCAATTTGAGAGCATTTTCGCGCCCTTTGTTATATTCAATATTTGAAAATTTTATTATTTATAAGTGGTTCAGTATGAAGTGGATTTGCATATGGAAGCATACTTCTAGCTAGAGTATTTTGCTTCCCTTTAAATACATTTTGCTTATGCAACTTCCTCATTGTTCAGAATTCCTCCATGCAATTCATTAAGGATTTCATGTAATTCGATCAAAATTTTACTGAAATTTCATGTAATTCGAGAGGAACTAAAATTTAATGTGAATTCTATGGATACTCCGCAAAAGTTTTACATGTAATTCCTTTTCCAGAAAACATAATTCTACTGAAATTCCTCGAAACTCCACTAAATTATGGAATTCTGAGAGACTTTAACAGATTTTTGGGAATTCCAAATTCCAAAAGATTTCTGGAATTTCAAACAAAATATTTTTTAGAAATGTTAATGATTTTAAGATGAGATTTTGCAGGATTTTTTTTGGTTTTAATGAAATTTTGTAGAAAATTATGCAATTTCAAGAGATTTTGTGGGATTTTGTTAAATTTTTAAGGATTTTAAAGATTTTTAGGGATTTTCAGTACATCTTATGAGATTTTATGAGATTTTAACCAAATTGTACAAGTATTTTGACCAATTAACCACCTCTTGAATGCTTTTGAGGATATTATTAACCCTGCCATCATTTGATTACATGTAAAAATAATGTGCCAAAATAGAAAATGTTGTGTCTACATAGATAGCAGTTGAAAGAAAAAAAATCAAGTAGGTATTACCTGTAACTTTGCATGTTTACTAGTAGCATGAGCCTTCAAGATTTGCATAACAATATTATATCTGTCAAAAATAGGCCTTTGGAAATTCTCCTGTAGTATATTAATCGTAACTTTTTTCAAAGAACCCGAATTAATGAATATTGCACTAAAATTACTATTTTTTTGTACAAGATTTCTTATTTTCTCCATCGATCCACTTTTAAGTAGTGCTTTTCTGTCCAGAGTGTCTAGGGGCACTGCTAAAGTGTCTTCTACTGTCCATGCTGGTAACGTATTTATCAGAGCAATAGCTTCTGAGAGTTGTTCATCAGGGGTAATGTTAAGTTTGTTACGGCCCCATTTTACATATGGTTGAATAACTAAGCAGCGATGAGCTTGTTTTATTTGAAAGTAGTGATCAGCTAATTTGTTATACTCCCTAAAACAATAATTGTTAAAAGCAAGGTATGTTCATATTATTATTATATCCCAGTTCATATTTTAAATTAACAGATAATTTAAATAATAAGTAGGTAACATGCTATAGAAACTTTACTTACTCATCAGATGTTATCAGTTCTTTAAGCTCATCTGAAAAATCTTCCTTTTCTCCCAAGCAAAAAAATCTAGGGAACTTCCTAGTGCCAAACACTACTCTTCTGCTCAATGGTTTCAATATTCTAGTGAGCAACATTTCAACAATTTGCGGTTTACAATTCACAGCCTTCTCAAATATCAGTACAGCATAATAACAATAATTATATTGTTTAGTATTGCATTTCACAATAATAAATACATGTATTATTGGAATTGGAACTTGGAAGTCAAATTAAAATATAAAATTATAAAATAAACAAAACTAAACACTTGTTTACATATTTTAAAGGGATTTTTAGGTTAGGGTTAGAATACTGTAGGCCTTTTCGGAAACGCAGGGTTACGTTTAAGAAATTGCACTCTGGGTGTGAGAGTGACACTGGAGTTACTCTAAACCGTTCATAAATTAACAGGTGCTTGCTCGGAGCGTTACGCTAGAATTGTTCAGTAATCGAGACTTGACGTCCCCAGAGTGCGCCCAAATTACCCTACTCAGGGCCGGTTTCTTAATAGCAGGTCACCTCCTGGTTAAGCTAACTCCAGGGTAAACATTGCAATTTGACATGTTAACCCTGGAGCTAAAACTAACCCAGGGATGACTCTCTATCAGGGACTGGGTTGAAAAACGCCCCGGGGTGCGTTCAAGGACGGCAATGCTAATGCCAAAACCTACTTTTCTCCCTCCACCGGTAATGCTGAACCACGTAGTTTGGAGCCGAACTCGAACGCAAAATGCCAATTTTGGCTTGGCTGTCGCCAATCCTGAACGCAGCCCCGCGGTTTTTACCGGGTTTGACGTTGACATTTAGCGCAATACCCCAATTACGTTCAGGAAAGGCGCACCCAGAGTGCACTCCAAGTGATGACGTCAGAACACTCTGCCAAACAACTACTCTACCTTCACACTCCATTTCTAAACGCACTCCTGATCTGATTAGAGAAAGATAAAAAAACAAACACCAATCGTTTTTCGTCCAAAAAGCCAGAGAAAGATCTGGCGACGCAGAACGGAGTGTTAAAACTTCAAAAATTTGTTTGTTTGTGTCACACTAACTACTAACTTGAACAACTGATATGCAATAGATCTGTTTCTGCAGAAATCACGACAAATCAGAGTGAATTTCATTGGCTGAAAACAGTCAGAAACAGTCAGGAAACTAGTTTCAACCAATGAAATTCACTCTAACTGGTTTGTGATTTTTGCAGAAGGAACTATTAAATACTGCCTCGCAGTATAATGCCTTGATTCTCACTTGCGCGAAACTCGCTCTTTTTGCCCGAAATTCGCTCTTTTTTGACATTGCTTCGACAATTTGACGTTTTATGCATGTATCAAACGTCAAATTGTCGAAGCAATGTCAAAAAAGAGGGAATTTCGCGCGAGTGAGAATCATGCCTCATTCTCACTTGCGCGAAATTCGGTCTTTTTTTGACATTGCTTTGACACTTTGACGTTTTATACGTGTATCAAACGTCAAATTATCGAAGCAAGGTAAAAAAAGAGCGAATTTCGCGCAAGTGAGAATGAGGCATGATTCTCACTCGCGCGAAATTCCCCCTTTTTTGACATTGCTTCGACAATTTGACGTTTGCCTCAAGCTTAATTCTCACTTGCGCGAAATTAGCTCTTTTTTCACATTGCTTCAACAATTTGACGTTTGATAGACGCATAAAATAAAACATCAAATTGTCGAAGCAATTGACAGAAAAACAGCGAATTTCCCTCTTTTTTTGACATTGTTTCGAAAATGTGATGTTTGATACACGCATGAAACGTCAAATTGTGGAAGCAATAAGGGCGACTTCTCATGAGCGTAATTTGACATTTATGGCATGACAGCGTACCTGAATGCAGAATTCTGATTGGCCAAATTCCCGCCATATTGGATACGCTGACACTCTGCCGCAGATACGCCAAAAGTTGAGCAAAGTTCAACTTTTCGCGTAAAAATTCAGCGTTTTTTGAGGTTAGGGTTGCAACCGTTTCGTTTTCTTGATTTTTGTAATTTACTGTCTATATTTGTAACTATTTTGGAACTAGAGCAAAAACAAATACAAATTTGTACAATCAAAATTCAAAGAAATATTTCAAAATTTAGGAAAAAAATATAATTTTGACATACGCGGCGGCGTAAATGCTCCACTCCATGTGAATGTTGCGCCAAAATTGACGTATTCAGCATTTGCGCCAGTTATGTCAAGTTTACGCTCATGAGAAGCTGGCCGAGGGCGAATTCTCATGGCCGTAAGTTGACATTTCTGGCGTAATCACGTGATAAAATGGACGGGTTTTATTGGAACAATATTTGACATGTTGGAAATTTTACCAATCAAATTACACCATATTATCACGTGATTACGCCAGAAATGTCAACTTACGCTCATGGTTGGGTTTTATTGGTAAAATATTTGCCATGTTGGATATTTTATCAATCAAATTACACCATATTGTCATGTGATTACGCCAGAAATGTCAACTTACGCTCATGAGAATTCGCCCCAAAGGGCGAGAACCCACGGGCGTAATTGACGTAAGCGTAACATGAGCGTAACTAATCATGTGATTTAATTTGTACGATTTTATTGGCGGCAATGCAGCCATCTTGAATTTTTGACATTACGCTGCTGCTACGGCAAAAAGTTGGGTTTTGTTGAACTTTTCGGCGTAATCGTGACAAAGTTGTGACATTTCATTGGTTGTGACCAATATGAACTATAACCAAAAACTGGAATGCGTACATATATTGACGAACATGAAGCCTAGTGCCGCTGCTGCGGAGGAGAAACCTGTTTCTGTTGCACTCATTATGTTAAATGGCGGAAATTGCTTCCAACACGTATTCCAATTGATGAAACCTGTGAAGGAAAATATGACAAATCTTTCGAAAACGTCATATGTCAGCGAGCAACAGAAAAAAACAACATTCCCCTTTGTGGCATCTGTCTTTCATGGCTACATTTTTTTAGCAGATATGGCAATGTGTGCGCATTCCAGTTTTTGGCTATAGTTTCATAGTAACCTGAACACAGAGCGAAAAGAGTAAAATGGTTAGTCGAACGCATTAGGAGCAAGGCGAGCCGCTGCCAATGAAGAAATGCCGCTGCCAATGAAGAAATGCCGCTGCCAATGAAGAAATGCCGCTGCCCCCGGCGAATGCTTATTCGCATCACAAATCGGAACATGTTTTTCTGCGGATATTTTGGGGAGCGATGCCATTTTTTCTACCAGGATCTCCAGGGGGCAACCAAGCCCTAAGCAAAAAAAATCTTTTTTGAATTATTTAGGTTAGGATCGTTAGGATAGTGAATTATTGAAAACCTAAATTTTACCGCCTTTTGGGAATATAGGAAGTGCGCATGCTCGCTTCTCGAGCTTCATCTCGCGAGGTGGAGCTTATGGATATAGAGGGTGAGTTCGGCTTGCTCACTCGGAGTGACTCCATTCGTACTCCAGCCGTTCGGGTTAAGGTTCGGGTATTGCTTTTTACGGTATTAGGGGTGACTCCATGAGCTCTGTTCACTCCACTCCAACTCCGCGCTGAATAGCAGAACTCAGCTAGAGTTAATTATTTTCACTCTACTTGGCTGCACTGGCGTAACTAGCCATCTGACCTGGGGGGGCCTAGGGTGGGCCTGTTTTTTGAAAGTCCTCATAGGTGCAGGATAATATTTTTATAAATTTGTTTATGGGGGGAGGGGGAAGCTCGCCGTAGGCTCCGGCGGAGGCGAAATTTTTTTTCCGGATGCCACGCCTTAAAACTTCTATTTTATAGTGTATATATTTTTCTATTTTTTTTCTACGAGCGTGCGAAAAGTGCTTTTTTCTGCACGCATTTTAGGCCATGAAAATATCACATCATCATCAAAATAATTATGCCTGGTACTTTTATGTCCTAAAATGCCTTATATCCCGATTATTATCCAAGAATAGAGATGGAGAATAGCAACATTAGCAATATAAAGTAATAGAGCATAGAATTGACCACAAATAACGAAAGGACAGAATACTAATACCATACCTCCCTTATCTAAGACTAATACGACTTGTATAATTCTTATACAAAGTTGTGTAAATTTTTATTACATACGTGATACTGATACTACCACACGGAACAGAATGATCATTAAATACGTTTGTACTTTCGCATTCCCTACGAGAGCTCCGTGCACCCATGAGAGGTTGCTCATGGGAACATCTGCCCAATGCCGCCTTGTAGTTGGGGCCAGTGGCCTAGGGCCTGTTATTGCGACTTATTGGAATCTTTAAAAAAGTAGAACAGTGCAATTATAGGCGATTAGCTGAATAAACCGGGCTTAAATCACTTACCTAGCTACAGTGTTGCCAACTCTGAATCAAGACTGTCCACTAGAAAAAAGATTTAAATCCACTAAAATCCACTAGGAGAGAAAAAAATGGCGCCGCAGGCGAAATTTTTTTAAACCATTGGAAAATCTACTAAATTTTTCCCACTCTTTTTTGAAATTTTTGTATCATCTACCATGTGTTAGTTTCTTCTCTTTGTTTCTTCTTAATAGGGCCGGTTTCTCAATAGCAAGTAACCTCCGGTTTAGTTTTAACTCCAGGGTGAGCGTGTCCAGTTGCTATGTTTACCCTAGAGTTATCCTTAACCCGGGGGTGATCTGCTATTGAGAAACCGGCCCTTATAGATTATGTTACAGCAGTATGTTTATAGAAGCATGAACGCCGGGTTTACTTGACTTGAATTTTGAAAGTGACAATGTTGACAGTTGAACTGAAAGCATCATTGACAATATTGACATACCTACAATATGAAAAACCCACAAAAAAAATATGTCAAGGATGATACACACTACGACATTACTACTACAGGTTGGCCTATCCTCATAAGGTCTGTGTGTTGTGTAACAAATCCCTCCCTCGCCAAATCACCAGTTTTGATGTAGGCAGCAGGTTATTTCTCATCTTGACGAAGGCTGTTTAAACAGCTGACGACTTAATTATGACGTCGGAATTGGTGACACACCAATATGGCGGCGATTACCAAAAACGATGCCGATAAGCAATCCTGTAGATGTGTATCATCCTTAAAAAATATGCTGCCTTCTGTAAATTAACATGAATCCTATAGAAATACGTTATTTCGAAATTTTAAAAACAAGTATCGCAAACTAATGGAAGCGAAATATCACTGAAAATTATCGAGCTAAAAACTCACTAGAAACCGTGGATCTCATTCCCATTCCCATTGAAATTACCACTATAGTGGAATCTGCTAAAACCATTCCACTAGACGACTTTTAAATCCATTAGAACTAGTGGATATTCTACCGAGTTGGCAACACTGCCTAGCTAACGCAGCTTATCAGCCACTGTAAAGTATATATCAGCAAGGATAGGGTCGATCAGGATCGCCGCGCATTACCGTTCAAATTTAGTAGATAATAACATAAAATTATAATAGGTAACGTAGCTTTCATAATAGTATATTATGCAATGATCATGTAATGATAGCCATTAATCCACGAGCATGATGTTTCGTATATAACATGCGAGTGTATTAATGGCCATTACATGAGAGTTGCATACACTATATTTTTTCTACTTCCATTAATAAACGAAATACATATTTATTTCAAGAAAAGTAAACTTCTCAACTAGTGACAATTATTGTTGACCACTATTGACAATTTCGATGATTTCGAAAATTAGGATCTAGACGTCATTTGGGCATAAATTCCGCACCCGATTTATTAATTTTTTGTTGTTTCTTCTGGTAAATACTAATAGAAACAATCCAAAATTCCAAAACAAGTCTATTATTTTTATATAAACATTGTTCATGTTCAAAATAACTCGATTCCAGTGGCTGAAAAATCTGTATCATAATGAAAATCTGTATCATAATGAAGTTCATTATGAAACAGATTTTAAGCGTATTATGAAACGTCAGTAGAAAAAATACTAAATTATTAAAGTTTTTTCTGGGGGGGCCTAGCGACGTCTGGGGGGGGGGGCCCGGCCCCCCCAGGCCCCCCTGTAGTTACACCACTGCTTGGCTGTACAAAAACGATGTGGAGCTTCCACTATTTACTCCCAGTAGCCTGACCCGAACGAATTTGCAGTGAAAAGTGTCAAAGGAGTCAAAAGAGTTGCCAAGCCGAACTCACCTACTCACCTATGATAGAACAATCACAGAAAATGAAAGGAGAAGGACTACAACAACAAATAAGTGAATTTTAATCATTACAACCTGGCAAAAAATAAACAAGATGTTTGTGTTAGAAAATGTTTTTGTTGTGATTTTGATGCACTACATGCGGGACGTTAAGCCAAAATTCGCGTAGAATACGAAACTACGACCGTGGGGATTCGCCCTTAATCTTAAGCTGCGTACGGACTTTGCGAGGCTGCCTCGCGAGGCGTGCGGCGACGCGGCCACGCACTACTTTTGAAGTGGTAGTAGAAGCTTAACACGAAGCAACGCGAGCCGTCATTCATTGACTCGCTCTGAGGCAACAACAATGTCGCTCATAACCAGCAAACACGTACAAACTTGGGAAATGTCGCGCTACGAGGCTTCTTTGAGCTCGACCAAAAAACCGACCAAACATGGCTCACCGCGAGGCTGCCTCTGAACGCGGCAAACAGTGAGTCGAGGCAGGTACCAATTTTGCGAAGCACGCCTCGGGAGGCAGCCTCGCAAAGTGCGTACGTAGCTTTAGACCACCATTTTTTTTTAAGTTATGACGTGTTCGATAACACAAGTATGAACCCGGACCTAGCTAAACCGCAACAGAAGAAGTCGTGGCAACAATGAACTATAGTCAAAAGCTGGAATGCGCACACATTGCCATATCTGCCAAAAAAATGTAGCCATGAAAGACAGATGCCACAAAGGGGAATGTTGTTTTTTTCTGTTGCTCGCTGACATATGACGTTTTGGAAAGTTTTGTCATATTTACCTTCACAGGTTTCATCAATTGGAATACGTGTTGGAAGCAATTTCCGTCATTTAACATAATGAGTGCGACAAAAACAGGTATCCCCTCCGCAGCAACGGCACTAGGCTTCACGTTCGTCAATATGTGTTCGCATTCCAGTTTTTGGTTATAGTTCATTGCGTGGCAATGAACGGTACTTTTTGTCCCAATAATAGAAGATACTAGATGGCGCTAGCCTGTGCCACAGTATACAGTGACTCTATTACCCACAGCGGCGAAAATTGCCGTCTTATTTTTGATTGGTTCTAAAATCCCATATATTTATATTGCAAACGCCACCATCTTGTTGCCACCTATTGCTTATTTCAAATCTGAATATATGGGATTTAGGTGAACATCCATCATAAAACATGGAAAACAATTTATTGATGGACCTAATTATAGTCATCAAATACGTCGATTTCAATTTTTTATGATAGATGTCCATTTAAATCCTATATATTAATATTTAAAAGTAACAAGAGGTTGGCAACAAAATGGCGGCGGGACCTCTATTGTCGCCACTGTATGTAAAGGTTTACTTAGCCACTATACCACGGTATACAGTGGCTAGATAAACCTTGACATATACAGTGGCGACAATAGAGGTCTCGCCGCCATCTTGTTCCCAACCTCTTGTTACTTTTAAATATTGATAAATAGGATTTAAATGGACATCTATCATAAAAAATTGAAATCGACGTATTTGATGACTATAATTAGGTCCATCAATACGTTGTTTTCCATGTTTTATGATGGATGTTCACCTAACCTAAATCCCATATACCTATATTCAGATTTGAAATAAGTAATGGGTGGCAACAAGATGGCAGCGTTTGCAATATAAAAATATGGGATTTGAGAACCTTGCGCTTCGAGAGCTGCTAACTTTTGCGTTTCAAACATATCTACACAAAATGGCTTAAATCTCCATAGGATCAAATGGTAAACACACAGTGCTGCTCCGAACAACACAAAAAACAAACTAGTCTATCTGAAAATATCAGCACCAACAACTATGTTTTCGAACGCGTCAATGGTCCCTGATTTGTTTATGAATTATGACTTGTATTTATTTAGATTTGTGGTGAGATTAATAATTATTCAACTCAAGTGGTACTTGTTCCTATAGACTAGAGGGAAAAATTAAAAACTCGTGGCATTTGAATTTTAAAATCGGCTTCGAACGAATCACAATGTCCATAAACCGAAATTTCCCTGCATTGAAAAATGAAAGACTTTTAAAAGCTGCTAGAGGAGAAAAACCTGATAAGCTCCCCATTTGGATCATGAGACAGGCAGGAAGATATTTGCCAGGTATTTGAAAAACTCACATTTTATCTTCGGTAATTCTATTTATTGTTTAAGAATTTCAGGAATACAGAAAGCAGCATAGTTTCTTTGAAATTTGTCAAAATCCTGAATATGCCTGCGAAGTTACCCTTATGCCCCTTCGTAGATTTGATTTGGATGCTGCTATAATATTCAGTGATATTCTTGTTATTCCTCAGGCTCTCGGGATGGAAGTAGAAATGCGACCCGGAGTGGTAAGTAACTCACTATTGAATGACATCCAAAAATTATGTAAAGCTACAGAATAAACTCAATGCTACCAATAATCTTTAATTAATTTTTAATGGTTATTACATTACCTACTATAATCTATTTTTTTGTGCTAGTATTTCATAGAACTTTTACACAGACATTTCTGGCTTTGACTTGTTTAGTAGTTATACTCTTCCTTTCTCAATATTCTTCTCTTATAATGTAGGTATTTTTCTATATTTTGGTAACCTTACCTTGTTTATCAAATTATTGTTCACTTACTTATGTAGGGCCCAGTTCTACCAGAACCCTTAACTCTACAACATGTTGAAAAGTTAAAAGCTGAAGGGGCAGTGAAAAAATTAGAATATGTAGGACACGCCATCAATTTAACAAGACATAAATTGGAGGGTAAAGTTCCATTAATTGGATTTACTGGCGCCCCGGTAAGTTTTTCAATTTTTGCAATGTTATTTGTTTCCATTATTAATTTTGTCATTTTTCCAGTGGACACTAATGGCATACATGATCGAAGGTGGTGGTTCGAAAACCTACTCAAAGGCCAAAAAGTGGCTTTATGCATCTAAAGAAGAGTCACATAAACTATTAGGCCTTTTAACAGACGTCATTGTAGACTATTTAGTCATGCAAATAGAATATGGGGCACAGATAGTACAAGTATTTGATAGTAATGCAGAATATTTAAACAAATATCTTTATTCTGAATTTTGCCTGCCTTACTTAAAAAGAATTTCAAGCGAAGTTAGAGAGAAGTTAAAAGCCAAGAGTTTGGAAGAAGTTCCTATGGTAATTTGCTGCATTCATGAAAAGTAATTTTTTAAATCTATTTGTTTATTTCTAGATACTATTTGCAAAGGGTGGATGGTACTGTCTTGAAGAACAAGCTGACTTAGGCTACGAAGTCCTGGGTGTGGATTGGACTATTGAGCCAAGCTATGTTAAAAAAATTCTTAACAATAAGAACATAACAATTCAAGGCAATTTGGATCCTACGGCATTGTATGCTTCGAACTCTGATTTAAAAATGTTTGTTGAAAAAATGTTAGAGGAATTTGAGGGCCAAAGGTATATTGTGAACTTAGGACATGGTATTTATCCAGATGCTCCCATAGACTCTGTTAAAACTTTTGTAGATGCAGTTCATAACTTTAAGGCTTAAGAATTATGCTTGTTGGTTTTTTATTCAATTTCGTACAAAACTATAAATATATTTGAATTGGTTTTTAATTTTTATTTTCTCTTATTCAGGCAAAAAAATCGGACCTCAAACTACTCTAGCTGTTTGAACTGCTCTGACTCTATTCGTACTGCTCTGACTCTGTTCGTACCTCACTTGAATCTGTTCAAGTTGCACTTTCCATTTTTACTTTGTTCGAACTTCTCCGAGTCATGCTTTCTGTTCTTGCTTGGTCACAACTCTCAGCCAATGGTGACAGTTACTTATGGGTCAAAACGCTTGAAGTTTGTCTACTCCTCTCCCAAGAACACTTACCTAATAGTACTGTTGTATTCCTTTTTACACCTAGGAGAAGTGTTAGAGCGCCAGCGCATCTGTTCCTTTCAAATCCGGGTCGACTAAAGCCGGTGCGAGTAGCTTTAGTGTTGCAAACTCTTGAAAGGAATACTGGAATACAACTAGGACTGCTTTATTGAGTTGAATGTGTCACCCTCAGACCCTCAACTCTTGGCGTAAAATGCATTATCCGAGTTCAAAACAATCCTAGTTTAAAACATATAGGTAAAAAAAAACGAATATTGAACGTTAAAATCACCTTTTCCACATTAAAATCGACGAAAAAATTAACTCACCAGCACAGCTTGAATCGCAAGTAATTCATCGAGGTCTACGGGTGACGTCACTACAGTAGGCTGCTAATAGTGGTGACGCGACACGTCCACTTTCCGTGCGTTCGTTATTTTGGTCTGAGTTCTCCGAGCTTGACTTTACCGTTCGTTTATTCAAAAAGTGTACTTGGTGTATCCTCATTCGCGTTCGTTTATTAAAATTTCTGGCACTTTTATACAGCGTTCAACTGCTCTGTTCGCTCGCTGGTCACGTGGTTACGGCTCCGCTCTGCACGCTCTGCTCTTCGAGCAAAATACCGAACGCAAGGTATATGAAGATTCAAGAATTATAAATTCAGGGGGTTTTTCAAATTTCCGATAATTTTCCGTTAATTATATCGAAGCAAAGAAAAAGGGCGGCCCAAAAACTCACATACTAGTAGTTATTAGATGCATTCAATGGCCCCCAAAATGCAAAAATCTCTCGTACCCCACAGTCATCGTGGGTATCGAGTTGAATGTTGAATGTACCTACTTGTTCAGTAAACTGAAAAATATATCGGCTTCGTTTTTGGGAATCGCAGCCATATTGTGTAGCACCATTGATGGCGTCATCAACTACCTATTTCTAACAAATTGTTGAATAAAGCTTTATAAATGAAAGTCAATAGACTAAATAGCTTGTTTGTTTCAGAACAGGCTTCAAAAAAATGTGATAAATGCCGTGGTAATGCGTATTCAAAATTTATAGGAGGGCTGGTAAGCCCAGAAATATTCGGTTAATTAGGCAATTCAATCCATCTGTCAGATAGGAAAATTCAATATGGCGTGGCGGCCAAGCAAGTTTGTTTTGAATGTGTTTTTATGCGTAGGTATTTGAAATTATTTTGCTTAGAGTTTTGCTTGCAACTCTGATTTGGATTATTTAATAAAATATTTGTTGACTAGGTACCTAAACTAATAAATCGGGCAGAATCTAGATATTTTTTTTTTTGTTTTTTGGCCCATGTGTGTCCGCCACGTCATCTTGAAAGTCACGTGGTTTGAATTGCCTAATTCTTAAATATTCTCGTATACGGTTGATTCGAATTTGAATTTTAGCAACGTAAATTGAACAGGAAACATTCGATATCATATTAATTTTCGTATGCGAGATAATTCAAGAATTTTTGGCCTGTTCTGAAATACGGGACCGATTTCCATACATTTCAACGAAACTGATGTGTTTCAAAAACACAGTCAAATGGAGATTTTGCATTTAGGGGTTTTAGTAATGCTGCGACGCTGAATTAATTACAATAAAAATAAAGAGGGACTTTCATTTACAAAAATTCAGTTACATTCGGCATCTTAGAAACGGTAAACTTGGCAACATTGCAAATACCACTATTGAATCCGGCATTCCCAGAAAGCCCAGGTAGGAAATATTGTACATTTTTCTTGAATGTGTTCTGAAATATTAGACCGACAACCCTGTATAAGTTAATTTTGATCAACATAATAGGCAAAGAGCAAGATGCAAACGAGATCTAAAAAAGCGTTCTTCTAGAATGTCAATTAATGTACTTAAAAGTATGCATAAAGCAAAAGCCCGCGGAATCATAACCTGTGGTGCAAAACACCCTATGTCAAGGCGAGAAATGACCCGTTGTCTACGTCATCACTGGTGTTTTGGCTTGGTGGGGGGCATAACACGTCCACAAACGATTAGTCGCTAAAAAATCCTTTTGGTTTTAGTACATTAACTAACATTCTAAAACAAATCTTTTTTAGATCTCGTTTGCATCTTTCTCTTTGCCTATCATGTTAATCAAAATTAAATAATATTTTGCATCATAAATGTATATTATTCCAAACTGCGACCGCTGGCACAAACAGCTGAAAACGTAATTGGTAACGTTGCCAATGGTGCTATACAATATGGCCGCGAATCTCAAAAACGAGGCCGATAAGCAATCTCATGTAGTTGTGTGTATTATCCTTGCAAGCCCCCATCATGCCAAAGCACCAGTGATGACATTGCAGCGTGTCGTCTCTCGTCTTGACGTGGAATGTTCGCAACACAGGTTATGATTCTGTGGGCTTTTGCTTTATGCATATTTGGTTTTGCTACAAGGTTCCTGAAGAACTGGTTTGGCAACATTAATATTTAATATTCTAAAACATATCTTTTTTTAAATCTCGTTTGCATTTTCCTCTTTTGCTTATTATGTTAATCAAAATTAAATAATATTTTTCATCATAAATTCAAAATAGTATGGTAGTATTGTCTATTATTCTTGTTTAAAATAAGTCATTACTCATTAACTAGTCGCGGCAGCCGCGAATATCTTGTCCTAATTTCAGGCCATCGGGCGATTAAAGTTAATTGCCGATTAAGGTGGAAAACCCGCTTGGTGCATGAGGAAAATATTATGCGATCAATTTGTGCAATGGTGCATATAGGCATAAGAAGTGAGGAAGAATATAGCGGCTGGCGGCGTTTTCAATATGAATATGTAGGATTTTGAAGATGCCGTGTTCTGGGAGCACACTATATACGCCAACTGGTACAACTCTCTGTTCACGGAGCAATTCTGTCACTAACGCTATAGCCCTTTTCACGTGGCTCCGGTTTAACAAACCGCAACATGCCGCTCAAATTCGATTGGTATTAATGACGTCACTTTGTAACCCGGTTAGGAAACGGTATGTCATTTCTCTAACCTGCTCGGCGATATGGTTACGATCAACGATTAGAACAAAAAAAAAAAAAAAAAAATAGAAAATTTGCTAACAACGGAGAGCGGGAAAATTGTGACAGGTGGAAATTTTGGTGCAGTTACTAGAGGGTACCTCAACCTATTATAAATGTTGACAGGTCGTTGGATTGCCGAATTTAAAATAACATTTGTTAAGCCAATTAACATATTAATTATAAATTGTTTTTAGTTATAGTGGCAACTATGCTATCGGGCAATAACTTGTAACTATTGGCAACGTCGCCTATTTTGTTTGTGTGCTCCGCCAAGCTGTTTTGGCTGGAGCCAGCCCTTTTCATTATTATTATTGAGGTCAAGCGACACAGCGTCACGTTCGTTCACGTGAGGCGCAATATTTTTTTTTATGTTGACCATTCTCGATTTTTTGCGTTAATAAAGTTCTTCAAATTTAAATGGTTGCTTTTAATTAAAATACAGGCAGTGAGCCAGCCACGAAAGCATATATGTGCATCCAGAACATACAATAATGGGCATGTATTCAACACAGCATTGTGGTGTGGTATTTGTACAACAGTTTAGGGCATCTTCGTTACAAGAAAATCAATGCGTACGGTAGTACGGTAATGTAAATGTACCACAGTTTTGAAATATTAAGTCGATTGGGTGATATTTTATGGGCTAATATGTACGACATTCCTAAATTCTCCTTTTTTTCTTATGTACACTTGGCCAATCATAAAACTGGTACGCATTTTCCTATTCTGTTGTATTGTGTAAATCAACCTTTACTACTACCTCAACAATGACAGAAAGATTCAAGTCAGTGTCATATTTAAACCAATTATTGCATAAAAACGTATGTTTGCATTTACTTTTATTCAGTTTTGACGTTTGTCAGAAGAGACTTTTTGTTGTTAAGCCTGACTCACACTAGGCAAATTTGAAAAATATACAGTGTGTCCCAGGGAAAACAGTCCACCCCGATTTATTGGATTTGGGCTGAGAATCCGGGAAAACGCTCGGACACGTCGATGTTTGATTTGAGGGGGAACTATTTTTCATTTTTTTTTGATCCCTGTAGGTTACCCCCCCCCCAGGATCCAAAATTCAAGGGAAAAATCACGATGCCGAAAAGAAAATACATAATAATATTAAAGAAAATCCTTTTTTTTTTGTTTTATTTTCCTCACAAAGGAAATTATGGTTCTGAAAAAGTGAACGACCTTGAAATTGGCAAAAAATTTCGCCTGCGGCGCGTTAGCGGGGGGTCGCATCTTCCAATTACCCCCCCCCCCAGAATGCAAGTCACGCGTCGCCACTGAATAAGGTGTACACGAGAATTGTAAATTATGGGTATTTTTAATCATATTTTTATTAAGGGAGGTAAGTACCGCTTTTACTCCTATTAAAACATAGTCCATTTCCAAGATTTTGACAATAAGCTGTCATTTCGTTACGGATGAAAATAATAAGATGAAATTCTAGGGCCATAAAGAACTCGATGAGACCTTTAAAAAGAGTTATGACACGACCCCTATTCCCTATTCAAATTTAGGGGGTTGTTCTCCCCCTAGCTAGCGGGTTGAACCTACAGGGATAAAAAAAAAATGAAAAATAGTTCCCCCTCAAATCAAACATCGACGTGTCCGAGCGTTTTCCCGGATTCTCATCCCAAACTCAATAAATCGGGGTGGACTGTTTTCCCTGGGACACACTGTATATTGCCTGTACCAGTTTTAT